AAAAAAAAAAAAAAAAAAAACCCTAGCCGGGCGAGGTGGCGGGCGCCTGTAGTCCCAGCTAATGTAGTCCCAGCTACTCGGGAGGCTGAGGCAGGAGAATGGCGTGAACCTGGGAGGCGGAGCTTTGCAGTGAGCTAAGATCCGGCCACTGCACTCCAGCCTGGGCGACAGAGCGAGACTCCGTCTCAAAAAAAAAAAAACAAACAAACAAAAAAAAACTTACTCTTTTGTATTTTTAGGTTTTTGTTTAGGCAGAAATAAAACTTATAGGTTTTTGTCCACACTTTGTTATTAAGTTACATGTTATCTTTGGCTTGCTTTCCAGAAAGCACAAAATGGTTGCTTTTTGTTTTTTCTTTTTAGAGGGTTCACTCTATGCTTTTATTTAAACTTTTTTCTCTAAGAAGACAGTTCCTTACTAGCTGCTCCTGATTCTTCATCTGGTCGGCAGCTTGTTTTGCTATGGCAGACTTCGCCTCTTCAGCAGCTCGACGCTCTTTTTCAAGCCGTTCTGCTTCTTCTTTTGCTCGTTTTCGTTCTTGATCCAGTTCTAGAGCTTTTCGAGTCTGTTCTTCTAGTTCTGTGAAATATGTGTATTCCCCCCAACAGCGATTAATTCCAAACATTCTCATTATCAAAAGAAGCTAAAATAGTAGCAAGAAATCAAATCTGTTCAGTTTCTAAAAATTAGCACACATGTAAATACGTATGTATATACCTCTTTGTTTTCTTGAGACAGGGTCTCACTCTGTTGCCCAGGCTGGAGTGCAGTGGCACAATCATAGCTCACTGCAGCCTCTAACTCATGGGCTCAAGCAATCCTCCCACCTCAGCCTCCCTAGTAGCTAGGACTACAGGCACTATATCTCATTTCTCACTTGGCAAAAGCCTAATAATTTTTAAAGAGACATGAAAATCTTTTGCAATTCAAGTTATGTAAAAAGGCTACAAGCATATAACTTTATTTTATTTTTAAGAAATAATCTCTCCATTTAAAGTTTTAATCTCAGTAAACAAATTGCCATGTTTCAGAAATTTTTAACACTTCCATTAAGTTTTTACTTACCTAAACTAATAAGTAAATCCAAGAAATTAAGATTGAAAACAGTATTTACTGACTCAAAAATAGGAATTTTGATGTGAATTATATGAATTATTGAAAAATGTGAGTTACTGGTATATATCACTTCCTACGGCATGAAGATAAGTAATATTGGGAGATAAATAACATGAATTTAAATCCTTAAGTGTATAGATCACTAAGTTAAATCTCTTTTCTTATTCCAATGAGTTGAACAGGAAAGGAAAATAAATTTTTAAGAGAGTTTAAAAGTTCTAACTTTAAATATTATTTTGACAATTATTTAAGCCCTGTGACAGAAGACAACAGAATGCCACCTACTAAGACAGTACAAGGTCCTACAAAGAATGATTCTCCCTTACTGTATACTAAGAGAATGTGTATGTCATGAAATTTGAAAGCTAACTGTAACTTACAACCTTTTACTTACTGTCCTTAATTTTGTTGGTCTTGATCAGAACTAGTTAAGTAATTGCAGTTAAGACTTGGAAGGTTTTAGGCTGGGTGTGGTGGCTCATGCCTGTAATCCCCAGCACTTTGGGAGACCGAGGTGGGTGGATCACTTGAGGTCAGGAGTTTGAGACCAGACTGGCCAACCTGGTGAAACCCCATTTCTACTAAAAATACAAAAATTAGCCAGGCATGGTGGTGGGCGCCTGTAATCCCAGCTACTTGGGGAGGCTGAGGCAGAAAAATCGCTTGAACCCAGGAGGCAGAGACTGCAGTGAGCCAAGGTTGCACCACTGCACTCCAGCCTGGGCAACAGAGCAAGACTCTGTCTCAAAAACTACAATAACAACAAAACAAAACAAAACAAAACACTTGAAAGGTTTTGAGAGGGTTGGAGAAGAATGACTCTTCGGTTAGGTTTTAAATTCTTAATAAAATATACAAAAACCACAGCAATTAGGCCAAAAAAAAAAAAAGAAGAGGAAGAGAAAGAAGAAAGAAGAAACAAAGGGTATCCAAAGTGGAAGGAAAGAAGTCAAATTAACATTATTTGCAGATAACATGATCTTATACCTAGAAAAACCTAAAGATCCCACCAAAAAAAAAAAAAAAAAAAAAAACGGCTGGAACTGATAAATGAATTCAGTAAAGTTGCAGGATGCAAAATCAACATTAAAAAATCATGGCTGGGCATGGTGGCTCATGCCTGTAATCCCAGCACTTTCGAACGGCAAAGTGGGAAGATTGCGTGGGCTAGGAGTTTGAGACCAGCCTGGTCAATAGAGTGAGACACCATCTCTTCTTAAAAACTAAAATTAAAAAAAAATCAGTAGCCATTTATATACACCAACAGTAAACAATCTGAAAAACAAACCAAGAAAGCAATTCCATTTACAATAGCTT